AAGCAGGGTTTGGGAGGGTGCCAGCGAGCTGTGCCCAGGGGCTGGGAAACAGAGGTGCCTCTGAGCCCAACCATTTGTCTAAACCAATTTTTCCCTTTTCAATCCCTATCCCTCACGCAAGGGAGTTTCCGATCCGCTTCCCTCTCAAGAGGTGGGTGGCTATTCCCATTTACCAACTGGGGTGGAGAAGAGGGGGAGGGGCAGGGCCAAAGCTGAAAAAAGTTGCAGACTCATGCCTCAAATCATCCAATGCTGGGTCATGCGCCCCCAGATGTACATGGTACCAGGCAGATCTACTGAAAAGGAGGTAAACATATCAGTAATGGTTTAAGAACCAGTAATATCCAACCCTTACTGAATGCTGGACATTTCCATAGGACAGACGAGGAAACCCAGGAGATGAAGGGATTTATCCACTGTCCCCTGAGAAATACAGGGCTCAACCCTGTTTAAACCCAGGGCAGCTCCAGGATGCTGGAGATGGGATTACTACAACCACTCATTGTGAGCGCGGTGCCTAATGCAGCCACACTCTGTGCTACACGTGGGTCTGGTCAGCCTTCTCACCTAGTCCTTCATCAGCAATCCTGTAAGCAGGATACTAGCCTGCTGCTTCTCAAGGTTACTGAGGCCCAGATGGATGGCAAATGCTAAGAAGCAGGGCCTGGATTTGAATATAGGGCTAGAGAAGAAACGGAACTCATAGCTCTTTCCCCTTTTCCAACCCTCGCACCTGCCGGAGAAGAACAACCGGAAGGCTCCAGGAGTGGGCCCACCCCTCTCTAGACTGTGGGACCTTCCACTCCCATGGAGGACATCCTTGTCCCGGGCACCTTGTCAAAGTAGGCCCGCCCCACAGCAGGTCTCAGGCCAGCTTTGCTCCTGCCTGCACCCCGACTTCCTCATCTGTAAAATGGGAAGCTAATGAAAGCTCAGGCTTCAGGGAGCCTTGTGGCATCTGCAGAGCTTTGGCAAAGGACCCTTCTCTCCAATGCCCACTGGGGCCCCAGCTTGTGATCTCAGTGGGCACGGGAAGTAGTAAGCCGGTTGGAGCGTCCAGAACTTCAGAAGCATGGAATTTGTCCCCCCAGACAACCTCAAGAAGCAACCCTGAATGCCAATCTACCCTCCTCCCCGCTGCCCAACTTCCAGCTCCGTAACTCTGAAAATGATCTCTTAAGTGCCTGGAAGTATGCCCACCCCACTAAGGTCGGATTGCCCTCATTCCTACTTCTCAGGACACAGGTAAGAAAAAATGCTCAGAGAGGAGCAGCCCTTTCCTCGAGGTCACACAGGGAATGATGCGGGGCCGGGGTGGGGGAGCCGTGTTGTGGAATTCCAGGCGGACATTGGCGCCCGCGTGTCTGCCCGCTTCTGATACCGGGTTCGGGAGAATAGGCCGCTAACGAGAGGCCCATTAGGAGGAATTGTCACTCCTCTGGGAGCGAGGTTGTCCCATTAGGGCGAATTGTCATTCCTCCTGGAGCGAGGTTGTCCCGGCTCCGCGCAGGCTGAGTGCAGGGGCCGAGAGCAATTAACGCGGCTCCGGCGCGGGCAGCCGCCTCTGCCCGGGGCAGCGGGGGCGGGGCGGGGCGGGGGCGGGGCGCCCGGCGCGGCTGGAGCCGGTCACCCGGCGCAGCCCCTTCCCCTGGAGCCCGCCTTTCATCTCCCCGCGCCTGGCGCCTGCCCGCAGCCCTGGCCCGTCTACAGCCCCCTCCTCCGCCCCTCCCCCGCCTCCTCCTAGCTGCCGGGAGCCAGCGTTCGGTCCTGGGGGTTGCAAACGCAGGGTCCGCGCGTTGTCCACCCCAGTTTGCAAGTAGCGTTTTTGCCCTGGGACCTGCGGTACGCGTGCGCTGCTGCTCCACTCAGGGTTCCTAAACGTGCTAAACCCCCCCGGGAAGTGCAGGGACTTGGGGGGATGAGGTGTGTGTATAGGGCCCAGTGCTGATGCTGCGCGTGGGGATCCCCGGGTCTCCCACTTACAACCTGCGTGACTTTGGGTTGCACGCTTAGTTCTTCCTGGTCTTGATCTTTTCCCTGTAAAATGGGGGAAATAATCTCCGCCCGGAGCAGTGTGTTGGAGGAAACAAATGAGATTCTGGAGGACAGGTCCTAAACTATCTTGCAGAGTTGACGCTTCGTGCTGTGTTCCCTTTGAAACCCCACTTTTCTGCCTACAAATACTGCAGTCACGCCAACGTCACCAGGAACCGGCCTTTACTAAGTGTCCCCTAAACGCCAAAGTCAGCCCTCCGCCCAGGGACTACACCTAAACGACACCTTTAAGGCTACGCACAATTCTCAGCCCCGGAGATTTTACAAAGAACCTATCGTGAACTCCGTGAAGGCTGGCGATGAGCCTCGTTTCGGATATCCAGCAGAGAGAAAGCATTCGATAAATTGCTACTGCTTTTGATATATAATATTTTGTATTGATCCCCTACACCTCCTAGTGACGTTCTGTAGCCTATTTAATTTGATTGCTATAAGAGCCAGCCCAGGTAAGGATTCTTATCTCTCATTTTAGAAATAAACAAGCAGGTTGAGAGAGGCGAAGTACCACATCCAAGGTCCCGTGGCCAGGAAGAGGTGAATAAAACGTTCAGACAAGGCCGCCATCGCAGAAGCAAATGCACCGAAGGGGCTTTCCATCAAGGGCTAGAGTTGTGTTGAGGTTCTGCCTTTTCACCAGCAGAAGTGAGACCCTTTCCTGAATTTTCCCCACCCCAGCAGGGAGCTGGGAATGGGGAGCGCAGGAGACAAGGTGAGCAGGCTCGTCACCCTCTGGGCATCTCTCCTGCTCATTTGATGGCCAGACCTTGGCATCCCGGATTTTTTTTTTTCTTCTGAATGCCACTTATTTTGTTTTGTCTCTACTATCTTCCTTTTTCTAGCTTCATAATTTTCTTTCTCTGTCTGGACATCAGGACCTAAAAGTAGTAAGGGGAAACTCGGCTTCTGTCCCAGAAAAGTTCATGAAAAGAGCTATAGAAGTATTGATTTTTCCATTTTTCCCGGGAATGAGCCTGTATGCCCCTAAATTGACAAATAGGAGCAGTGTGTTTTCAGGAACAATTATAAAACAGTGCCCTGGGTACAGCCCAACTTGAAAGCTGAACCCTTTTGTACACTTTGGCAGCTTAGGGCTAAACGAATTTCAGGTTTGCTTCCAAAATATATAGCCTACACCTTGCCGGGTACCTCTAGAAGGCACAGAACTTAATCTGGATTTACCTGTACTGTATTTGAGATGCATATCTGCCCAACTATCATCAAGTATGACTCAAGGGGAAAATGCATACATCTCCAGATAGTTTAATTTTTTTTTTTTAACTTTCTCTGAGCTTCCAGTTTGGTGGGGGTGGGGGTGGGAGAACGTGCTCAGTGGGAGAGGGACCTGGAGGTTTTAGAAGACTGTGGTTAGGACTTATTTACTTTTTAGCCTTTTCAGAACAGTTCTACTCAAAGTGAATTAATTGGCCAGTGCAGACTGATTTCCCCCCCCCCCTAAGATTCAGATCATGCCTATTCAGGGTATCCTCGGCCAGCACAGTTTCACCCCAGGCAGATGTTTAGGGTGAAGAAAGCAGTGCATCAGAGAGCCGGTGTTGGGGGGGTCAAGTCTCTAAGATTCTTGAACTGGGAGATAGCCTCCAAGCCTTGATCATTTCAGTAATTAAAAACCATGTCCCCTCCTTCCAAGGCGCTGGGAACTGTTTAGCAAGCATCTGCTGTGTACAGGCCCTGAGCTGGTAGATTTCTATTTATCTCATCACTCTGGGGTAATCGTTGAGATATAGGGAAGAGCAGCTGCAGCCTGGAGAAGGTCATTTGAAGCGCTTAGGTCTTGGACGGGTGGCCTACGGAGGGATCCAAGGCCTCTGCGTACTCTAAGCTCCCTCTCCCCTGTCCCTGGGCCGGTACAGTCATCACTAAGGCTTTGAGATGTAATTACCCAGGGTATAATTTGGGGCTGGGTGGGGATATCTATGCTTTTTTTTTTTTTTAACCAGGTGCAATGAATAAAATGTGCTTCTCAAAAATGTACACAGGCCTGGGGTGTGCAAACGCAGAACCCGGTATTTCTGAGATTTGCAAGAGGAAGGGAAGCACTAAGTACTATCAGCGCCTTTTCCTTCCTCCTCCCCCTTGAAGGCAAACACTGGCACCAAAACACATGACAAACATAGGCTGAAACAAACGCACGAACACACAATACACCTAGTCTTGGGGAAAAGGTCGGATCCGGGTGTCGCTCAAAGGAGATTCAAGGGAAAGAAAACGCGCGCGGGTTAGTTTCTAAGCGTGCGCTGGTTTTGTTTCGAGTGGAAGAGATGGGGACCACTGCTTTAAATTTTCCAGTCGAAACTATTTGGAAAACCAGTTCCTGACCGTCTTCGGGCTCCCCATGTCCCTTCTTTAGGGGAGTTAACAGTAACAGCTTTCGCTGTAGGGCGTTTGCCAATAGCGAGATACTCTTAGAAGCGCCATGTCTGTATCATTTCCTTTAGCAGGGATGCCGGCCCGTGTTTTCAGTGCTGGCTCCTAAAACTGTAAAGTTAGCCCAGTTTCCACGCACAGTAGGAGCTTCACAAATGTTTGTGCAGTGTGAGTTGCCGATTTTAAACTTGCTCTGCAGGTGGGGGTTGGGGAAAGTGGTACGGGCGCGAGATGCCTTTTTAAAAAGGGGTCAAAAGAGAGAAGAAATGGGACTCGGCGAACTTCCTCTTTAAATAATCGGCTTTAATTACGCCATGGACTTTTCAGTTTTGGCGTGATTATAACCCTTGAGGGATCGCCTAATAACAACTCTGCTGACTGCTCCTGTAATTAACTCCTAATTTATTTCAAACAGGGAAAAAAAAAAAAGGCCCCAGCCTCTTCCCGGAGAGCCAATCAGACGCGAGCGTCTGTGGCGTCAGCGCCAGGGCCGGCGCGGATTGGCTGAGCCGAGTCTCCCACTTCCCCTTGGAGGAAAGGCACGGCTCCCGGCGCGCCCCTCCCGTCTCCCCCCAAAAAAGTTTGAGTCGCCGCTGCCGGGTTGCCAGCGGAGTCGCGCGCCGGGAGCTACGTAGGGCAGAGAAGTCATGGCTTCTCCGTCCAAAGGCAATGACCTGTTTTCGTCTGATGAGGAGGGCCCGGCGATGGTGGCTGGGCCGGGCCCGGGGCCTGGGGGCGCGGAGGGGGCCGCGGAGGAGCGCCGCGTCAAGGTCTCCAGCCTGCCCTTTAGCGTGGAGGCGCTCATGTCGGACAAGAAGCCGCCCAAGGAGGCGTCCCCGCTGCCAGCCGAGAGCGCCTCCGCCGGGGCCACCCTGCGGCCGCTGCTGCTGCCGGGACACGGCGCCCGGGAGGCTCACAGCCCCGGGCCGCTGGTCAAACCCTTCGAGACCGCCTCGGTGAAGTCGGAAAACTCCGAAGACGGGGCCGCGTGGATGCAGGAGCCCGGCAGATACTCGCCGCCGCCGAGTGAGTGAGCGTCCGAGCCGGACGAGGGGTAGGCGGGTGCGTGGGGGGTGGGGGTGGGGTGCTGGAGAGAGCCAGGGGCCGGTGCCTCAGGCTGGGGGGACGGAGACCCCTCTGCACTCTACGCCCGGGAAAGCAAGCCTAGGAGCTCTGGTCTGGCATCCGCGCGGCGCGTGTTCGCGATCCCCTAGCTGTGCAAAGTATCCGCCACGACTGAGGAATCGCTGGTCTTTGAAGGGCGAAACCTAGCTGGGTTCGCCGGGGCGCTGGGTTATCGGTTTCTCCAGTCCTCGGCCCTGCGCTCCAACCATTTTGCTTATTTTTGTTTCACCGTCCGGCGGGTGTCTGTCCGAAGAATGCAGGGGAATCCACGTTTCATGAGCACTCGAATATGTGCCAAGCAGAGGCGGAGGTGCCTTACCTCCTTTCAAAGTTCACAGCCCAGCGACTTGTGCCCTCATCGTAAAGACAGACTGGCAGAAATCTAACCCCCAGTATTGGACAGAAGTCAGTATCGCCCCCCTGGGTCCCGATCCCAGGAAGGGATGGCGGCAGAGACTGGTGCCGAGGCGAAAAGTCTGTGTCGTCCCCGCAGCCAGTGCCTTCGCTGGGAGCGGGCTGGGGTCAGGCGCGCGGGGCGAGGGCTCCGCTTGGCTCATAGTAATAATTAACAGCATTCCAGCAGCGCCTGAGAGTTGACAAAGTGATGCTCATTCGTTCACCAGATCCTGATCATCGGTGGAACCCCGAGTGTAGGCAGAGGCACAGGGCCGGTGGTTATCCCCTCTACAGACACCGGGCTTGAGGAGGACTGAACTTGTTTGACCCAGGTCACCAACAATGGCTGAAGTAGGCAAAGGGCCCTGGTGTCCAAACTCTGCTCCTCTGTTTGGTGCCCTGAGCACCTTTGATCCCTTTCCCCAAAGAAACCAAAGGGAGGTCTCCACACCTGTACCCCGCTTCCTGCCAATGAGGCCAGCGGGCATGCAGGCCCAGGTGAATTGATTTCCCCTCTAGCGTTAGCCATTTATTTGGGGGGGGGCTGGGTCCTTCTGAATTTGGAGAAGTCATTCCCTGTAGCCTTTTTATTTTCATCTCCTAGCCTTTAAGATTTGTCTACCCCCAGTGCACCTTTAGGAGAGGTGAGAAAGAGAGGGGTCTGCGGAGGGACCTTTCCCAAAGCCTGGAGAACCACACCTTTCTCCATTTCCATCAGTCAGCCCTCAAGACTCAAGAGGCATAGTATTTTGTGAACAAAACAAGGCCACGTACCCAGGCCTCAGTGTCTGTCCCCTCTGGCGTAGCTCTCCACCCTGTTAGAAACTCCGAAAGATTCAAAGGGTGTGGAGATTAAGGACTCAAAGAATTTAAACTCTAGTTTGCACAGTGCTTTATAGCACTTTTCGCCACATTATCTTATCTGATCCCTGTCGCTGCAGCTGGCCTGCAGTAACAGACAAGGACATTTCATCAGAGTTCAGAGGAATCAGCACACCCTGAGTTTGGGCTTGGCCAAAAAACCAAAAAACAACCTTGGGAATACTTAATGATCACCCATCTGGCAGTAGACAGGGCCCCGGGCATTGTAAAATTTAGTAGTCGGAGCCACACTGCAGGGTATTTGCCCATTTTATCGATGGTGAAACAGAGGCTCAGAAAGTTTAAGAAACTTACATTTGTTAGACAAGTATTGAGTGCCCATGGATTTCTAGGCCTGGGTCAATGTCCGTGAGCACATTAAGGATTCGGGCCTTACAGAGAGTGGTGCCCAGAGATCAGAAATCCTCACTTCTTTAGACCTTCAGGTAGTGGGCTGGCCAGTTCTCCACTTGCTCTGTAAACAACCCCCACCCCCTCCCCAAGGTGATGAGCTTTCCTGCTAGAGGGTAAAGCAGCTTTGGGCTCTGGGTATGACCTTCTGGAGAGAAAAATCCGAGATGCTGGAGAAAGGATTTAAAGATGCAACAAGAAGTGGTTCCTTTGGTACTTTGGGCCTGGAAATTGCAGTGGGAGCCCAGGGGCAGGAGCCTGGGGCAGGAGGGAGCCTCCTGCCTTGGCCAGCCTTGTTATTGGGAGGAAGTAGGGTAACTGCTGTTTTGGTTTGTATAACCGCATCCATCCTTTGGCTGGTTTAGAATGGGGCCACAGGGGTGGGGAGGGTAGCGAGGAAGCCTCTTAACTTTATGGCGATGATACTCCTGTGCAGTCCCTGTAGTCTAGGTTTTAGAATTCAAATGCAGCCTCTGGGAGCAGCCTGGATGACTGATCAGGGCCCAAAGTTCCTTCCAAACAGAGCGTAGGACCAGGCTTAGGCACTAGGAGCTTGGTGTCTGAGTTGAGACAGCTGGGGTCCCCCAGAGTGCTAGGTCAGGTTATTAAAGGGTGGAAGTGGGTCCCTGAGTCCCAGAAGGTGCTTTGTTAGTTTATTTGTAAATTAAGAAGTAGACGTAGGGGCCCCTGCTCTCCGGCTTATTTAGGGATTAGCCTATGCAAAAATCTACACTTCTGAGGTAGTTTCTTGGCCATCCCTCACCCAGATTCCTGGTTTTGATTGATTGTAGAACCTGCTGCTTTCTTTTCCATCACTAAAATGATGGTTCAGAATGTCACATTAGGACAAATCCATTCCTTGTTGGAAGCGGAGGTTGGATGGGACTTGTTCATATCACCCTCAAGTATGAAGTGTAAACTCTTCCTTGGGCCAACGAAGTAACTAAACAAGAAATGTGACATTCTCTCCCCACGAGTACTTTGGAGTTACTACTGTGGCTACTTCGGGAAAATTAGCATAGCTCGTAAAAGCCAAATGCAGAAAATTAATTGTTTAGCATTGTGCCTCTCAGCTCCATACTCTTGCCCCCGCCTCCCTTTGAGGAAAAGAAGCCCCAAGTCAGTTGATACTCTGGAATCACAAGATTGCCCAGTCCTATAATTGAATCCATTTTAAATATGGAGTCTGGATGAGGTTGGCCTACCTTTGTTTTGCTTGTTATTCCCTCTTTCTAAATCCTGGCGACAAACTAATCATTTACACATTTGCTCTAAACCAGAGAATGGGGAGAGATGAATAAGATGTCATCACATGCTCTCAACTGAGGCAATATGATTTCCCCTGACATTTACATTTATGAGCGGGCTAATTTTTCCCTCCTTATTAGTAAACTTTATATTACACAGAAGCACCCGGCCAACAAACTTATCCCACATTCAGATCTGTAAAATGATGTTCAGGTTTTATAATCTGCAGACTGGATGGAATGACAGCTGTGTGGCTGTTTATCGCACGGGGCTGCTTCCAATCCAGAGATGCTATTAATTTCCCAGCAGACCTTATCTGCACGATTATCCTGCATTGATATATACGCAGATGCACTCCAACTTTTCCCCGGTGTGGAGAGGGGGCCAAGCGCAGTTTATAAGACCTTTTCTTCATTTTTTTCTTCTTACGGGATTATCTCAGCATCTTAGAGAAGTGAGGATTATCATGGACCCAGCCCCCATTTTAAAGACCAGAGAAATTAAGCTCAGAAGAGAGGGGGTTTTGTTTCTCAGAGAACACTCAGCTCCCTTGGCTTAGGAAGGGTCCGGTCATAGATGTTCCATTTTTCCATTATCCTTTATGCTGTGGTTTCCCGTATAGTTAGTTCTGTGCACTGTTGAATCCCCAAACTTTCTGTAAAAAGACTCAGTTTTTTTTAAAATAAAGCAATTTATCCATTTACATATGGTACTTCTGCAGTTTTGACGGAGGGCCCTTTCTCAAAGATGGAGAGAGGAGGGCCTGTGCGGGCCCGGGCGGGGGTGGGCACACCTGGAGAGAAAGCCACTTCTTTTGCTAATGCAACCCCTCTCTGTTCTCTAGGACACATGAGCCCCACTGCCTGCACCCTGCGGAAACACAAGACCAATCGGAAGCCACGCACCCCCTTCACCACGTCCCAACTCCTTGCTCTGGAGCGCAAGTTCCGCCAGAAACAGTACCTCTCCATTGCAGAGCGCGCAGAGTTCTCCAGCTCTCTGAACCTCACAGAGACCCAGGTCAAAATCTGGTTCCAGAACCGAAGGGCCAAGGCGAAAAGACTGCAGGAGGCCGAACTGGAAAAGCTGAAAATGGCCGCCAAACCTATGCTGCCCTCTGGCTTCAGCCTCCCTTTCCCCATCAACTCCCCCCTACAAGCAGCATCCATATACGGAGCGTCCTACCCTTTCCATAGACCTGTCCTCCCCATCCCGCCCGTTGGACTCTATGCGACTCCGGTTGGATACGGCATGTACCATCTGTCCTAAGGAAGGCCAGCTCCATAGACTCCACGATGGATGGATGTGTGTTTAAATGGGTCCCCCCCCTCCAAGAAGGCAGTAGCAAGCCACTACTCCTGCTCCGCAAAAGGGGCCACCGACATAGTTCGAATTTCTTTAGGCTGGAGGCACCGAGTCCCATTTTCTTGGTGCCATCTTCTAGATGCCTCCCCCTACCCCCCTTCACAAAGATTGGCTCTGATGGTTTTTATATATAAATATATATGTAATAAAAGATAATACATTTTTTTATACAGCAGACGTAAAAAATTCAGATTATTTTGAAAGGCAAAATTTATATGCATAGTATCTACTTTTTCCCCTATATATCTCCTTCCTAAAAGAGTCTAATATGTCCATTTGTCTTTTCTCAGAGGAGGCCCACCTGATTTGCTAAAATTGCTGACAATTTGGTGATTTTTGATGATATGATTGCCTTGTGCTTATGGAAAACAAAGATTAGAATTAGAAACACGCATAGGAATGAGATAATGGAGAGACTCCTCAAAATGACAGGGACACATCACGTTTTGGCATTTTTACATGCGTTAAAAAAACTGATTAGGTGCTACCATATTCGTCCCTATATTTCCCCCTCTTTACACATTGTTACAGATTGTTAAAGTTTTAACTTTTTTTTTGTAAGATCATTTAAAGGGGGTTGGGGAGATGAGATGAGTCCTAAGGATACCTTGGGGTAAGGTGGGGCTTGGAAGTACTTCCTAATTCCTCCTCAGGCTGTTGCTTAACTCCATTTCAGATAATTGGAGAGTACAAAGTTAAAGCCTGTCGGCGGAATTGATGGCTTCTGTGAAATACTAGGTACGAGAGTCAGTCCTCACACATTGCAAAGGTGATTGGGGGGCGGGGAGTGTAGTTAATTCTCTGCTTTTAAAAAAGAATATATCTTGTAACCATTACCTATACGCTAAATATTCTTGAACAATGAATAGATCCAGAAAGAAAAAACAAATCATGCTTTCTCTGTGTGTGTACCTATTGTATGTGCTAAACTTATTAGAAAAATTTATATACTTTTTAACATGTCGGGGGCAGAGGGTAAAGCCATGTTTTGACTTGCTAAAAATGGTGTTGTCAAACAGCCCATTTACTCCCCGGTACTTCATCTATCTATCAATCTCCTCCCGCCCCCCGCCCCCACCCCCCAGTATACTTTTATCCCTTTGAAAGGGTTCCTTGTATAATTTTATATATTTTATTGAAGAGTTATTTCTTATCTCTTATTCCGAATTAAATTAAACATTTGTTTTATTGCAGTAAAGTTTGTCCAAACAATTATTTTAAAGGGTGTTCTCTCTTCTTAGCTGGCTTCAACAGCAAAATGCCACCAAGGTGGGGGGAGGGGCTGGTGATCTTTATTATGACGTTAGCGTGAATCCATGAAGAGTTGTGCCCAGATTCAGCCTGGGGTCGGGGAGTCTATCGAAAATAGGGAACCAAGTACTTTGAGATGTGTCCTCTGGCAGCCTGGGTCCCTCATGGAAAAGAAGTGGAACTGCTCTTCAGTTTTCAAACTCTAGCGAAAGACGAGCTTAGAAGAAGCTGAGGGGTTGAGAGATCTGAGAGGTTGGTTAGCTGATCAAGGGAAAATCTTGAACTTGAAATCTCCCAGCTCCCAAAAGGGCAACCGATTTAAGACTGGGGGAAAGGGACCTAGAGCTCTTTGCAAATGTCCCGGGATTGTAACGAGATGCATTCCCCCGGTTGGGAGGTGGGGGCGGTTGCCTGATGCCCTTTCAGGAGTGTGTCAAATCGCATTCCGTTTACCATTCCTCACTCCTTCCAAGGAGATGGACCCCGAACAAACGCTCTTTTCGATTTGAAGGGGGGAAGGTGGTTCATTCAAGTCCCGTTCGCTTTGCAGCCTCCCTTTCCACTGGGTACAGAACGGGGTCAGGCTTGGGTTTTGAGGCATCACCATTTAAAATAAAAAAAAAATCAGTGGGTGAGGGAGGCAGAGACGGATCTTAAATTCCCTTTTTTATTGCACAAATAAATCCGAGGTGGCTACTGATGAAAGCTTCCGGAGGTCTATTTTCGGATGAGCCGCTCTGGTGGCCTTGGGGACGCGGGCAGAAGGGAATCGAGAACTTTCACGCCGCGGATGGAAGCTGAGTGGTGGGGAGAGAGACCCCAGGCATCGATTCGAACCGGCGCGTTCCGTCTCACGTTCTCATCGCGCCGAAGCCCGGTTTGGAAGCGGGCGCCAGAAACTGCATTTTCCCGCGGGGCGGACGCTCGCAGGGGTCGGGCGGCGAGTCCGAGCTGTCCCAGCTCCAGCGCCGAGCGCGACCCGAGCCCACAGAACCGCGTTCTCGCCGCTGCACCGCTGCCCTCCGGAGCTGAGCCCCGGGAGCCTTCCCCCAAACCTCCCCAGTGTTCGCCTCTGCCATCCGGACGGGCCTCCCCAGCCCGAGCTCCTAATCCCAGCCCGGAATTCAACCGTCAAGTTGGGTCCCTAATTAGCCCCGTCCACCGAGCTTCCTCCCCGGCGCGCCGCTTGACCCCGCAGCCTCGGGCGGTCTCCACCCGGGTTGGGGGACCCGGAGACTGCAGCTCCGGGTTAAGACAGCTTGTCCTCTGGAGAAGGGGTTCGCAAACCAGGGTGCGATTAGGAGGATTGCGACCTGCGTGGCCAGGGGGGTGGGTTGGAAACGGTCTGGGCGACTGCGCAGTCCCCCGGTCGCCCCAAATCCCAAAGGGAAACTGAGGCGCGGAGAGAGGGAAAACAATGTGGCCTTGGCCCAAGCATACACACCCCCGGCGCTACCGGGTGGATGGGGGTACCGAGGTGAGGATGCGGCAGGGCGGCGGGGACTTCGACCACAGCCAGAGTTCCTGCGGCCCCGGCGGTGCGCCTGGCTCCGGGGCTCCCTCCTAACCTGCCCCGTGTTCGGGTGGGCGGTCGCCACGGTCCCCACCTCGGTCAGGCTCGGTAAGCCAGGAGTTCCAAAGGCCCAAGTAACAACCTGCGGCGGCAGGAAGACCTTGACTCAGCAAGGACCCGCGAAGCGAAGATGCCAGTCATCTCGTACTTTCAACCAAACTTTTCTAGAAAGACAGCTCTGCTTTGAGGAAAGAGGGAAAGAAAGGAGAGGAAGTCACATTTATTGAGCTCCTGCCAAGTGTGGACAGCAGTAGGCATTTTCTCGCACATTTCATTGAATCGTTGCACGTCCCTTGCGGATGTGTTATTGGTGCCATTTTATAGATGAGAAAACTGAGGCTCAGAGAGGTTGCTCACGGAGGTCACAGACCCAGTAAATGGCGGCGGCAGAATTCAGGCCTAAGCATGAGCCTAGTGGAGGGCATGAGGGCCTGCAGAGGACGTCTTAGACCTAAAGTTGGGGTTTCCAGGACTCTGCAGATTCCCAAACCCTGAGAGCTCATCTCGGGAGCATCTCCCTCTAGCCCTTTCTCCACCTCACTTTGGCCCTAGAGGGGTTTTCCCACTGAGTGCCTGCTTCCCTATCACCGGGGAGCCGGGCCCAGCCTCACCCCCCAGCCCCCAGCACCCCTGCGGAGGCAATGCTGGGGCAGGGCCGGCAGGAGGTAGGCAGCGAGGGCCTGGCTGGCTGAGAGCAAGCTCTGGCAAAACGTCTGCCTGACCTGACTGAAAAGAGGATCCTTGCCTTTGAGCAGAACCTTGTCTGACCGAATGAAAACTCCCACGGCCATTCTTTGCTATAAAAGCGGCTCATTTGCCACGGGTTGGAGAGGCCATCCCCAACCCCCCACTCCCTCTCCATTGCTGGGTTTGGAATAAACATAAACCTCATTTATAAAAGAACCCACGTCACACACACAGGCGCGCACACACGCACGCACACACACACACACACACACACACACACCCTCCCTGAAATCACAGGGCCCAGTGGGTGAAGTTGATTGTGCCTTGTCCTTCTGCAGTGTAAAAAAAAAAATTTCCAAATCGGTGATGCTGTAGGCCTCTTTAATGAAATTGGTCAGACAGCCAATGAAGAAAAGTCGGCTGTCAACTCCTGGACCCCTCTCCCCCTCTCCCCCCCCCACCCTACCCCCTCACCTCCTCCTTACTAGAAACTAAATAAAAAGCAGTAAAATTACTTTCCAAAATAGCCCGCTTCAAAGCAGAGCAGAGTACCGGGCTTCGGGAATCCGGAGTCTTGCCTTGATAAGGTTCATAATAATCAAATCCAAACTCCATCCACCTCCTCTGACTCTTTCCAACCTCCTCCGGACCCCTCTGCATTTGTTGATGAAAACACTTTGATGTCCCGAGTCCTCCAAACAATTATTATTATAATTTTAAACAACCTGGTATTTTCCATTACTAACGGCTCGGGCTTTGAAGTTACACCTCATAATTTCCTAAATTAAATAAATCATTTTAAGTTTGCACTGGGAGGCTTTTAATAGCAGAGAAAGGAATATCATTATCTTATTGAGACCCAATTGTGGTGGCTCCGGCTTGGCTGTAGCTAGGGGCAAAGTAGGCTCACTCTAACAGACATACTTTATTAACCTCCCATAACTCTTGAAAGAACATTTTTATATTTTCTTTGATTTCCCCCCTCCCTCTCTTGTTTTAAAGCTGTCCCAACCTTTAATTAGTGCCTAATATGAAAAGCATTATTTTTTTAATGCTATGTAATTTACCAGCGGCAACAGGCCAACTTAACAATTGTTTATTAGACTTGGTTTTTCACACAGGGCAAAGAATGCCTCTCCAAACCCAACTTTTCATGGGTGGTTGCACTAATTAATACAGTGTCTGAGGCTCCTAGGGGGTTTTTAATATTGAAGCCTATGGGGGCGGAAGGGGGTTTTAGAAGTCCAGCTCCTGCCGACGACGTTCTCGCGCTGATTTCTTTCATGCTGTTTTGATCCTGTCTGTGGAGTCAGCACAGACAGAAACTGTGCCCTGGCTCGGGAGACTCGGGGACCCCGAGGCAATGGCCCCCCGGGGAACCCGGGCACCTCCACTTGTGATTCATGGCCTGTGGGGCCCAGGCTTGGGGTGCAGGGAGCCCACTGATCACTCTGGGCTTGGGGTGTGGACCCCCTTGTCCAGCCAGGAGGGAGGAGGAGCTGGCTTGGGGCTGGGGTTGGGCGGGAGTCCGGCCGCTGGGGGCAAATGCCAGGGCTCCCGGGCGCCAGGTGGTGCTGGGCTCCGGGTACAGAACTGGCAGAAAGGGAGGCAGAGCCCTGGAGGGGAGAGGGGGAAGCTGGGGAGGGCCCCAGGCCAGCAGGGCCCCCTCTTCCTACTTCTCGCTTCTTTCTCCTGTCTTCCCCAGTCTTTGTCTCTCCGTCCCCATCTCCTCTTCAGTTTCTCCCCTCCCCTGTCGCCCCCTCTTTCTTGTCCGTTTCTTTGCTATCTCTTTTATTTCCCTCTCCCCAACTTTCATTCTTTTTCCTGGTCATCCCACTTGTCATCTTTATTTTGTTCTTTTCTCTACCTTCTTACGATCTATACAATTCCTTTTCGTGCGCTTCTCCTAAACTTTTTTTTTCTTCTTCTTTCTGCCACCTTGCTCCCCTCTTGCGTCCCTCTGTATTCTTTCCGTTTTCGATTTAGTCTCATTCGCACTGTCACCGACTTCTCGACTCTTCTGGGCCTCTGTTGTCCTTCTTTCCCCCTGGTTCCAGCGGTCCTGCGGGATTCCCGGGGTCCGCCCCGGGGTGGGTCGCCCGGCTCCCCTGGGCGCTGCGCCCTCGCGCAGGCGGCCCCTGGCCACCAGTCCCTGCTGCGCCCTTCCCTCCCCCGCTGCACCTGGAGAGCGAGCCGGGGAGAGACCCCTGGGCGGGGGGACGACACATCACCCGTTTTCTCTCTGACCGCGGGCGTCGCGGGCGAGAAGGGCAGCGCCCGGCGGAGAAAGGCCGGGTCCCCGCGCGCGGCCCCTCTGCCCCGCCCGCCGCCGGCCGCCCGTTTGATGTCGCGGGCCCCGCAGGAATGCGGCCGGGTTATCAATCACCCAGCTGGATCCCGAAGGTCTCGGCCTAATCACATTTAATTGCTCGTGGAGGCCCACTCTCGCCCCGGGCCGGCCGCCGCGCTCAATTACTCCCCAAATACCTGCCATCAATAAATGCGCGCTGACACCGGCCCGGCCCGCTCCGCTGGCCCTGGAGACCTCAGTCGGCCAGGCGCCCGCACCCCACCCCCACCCCCGTCATTAAACTTACACCTCGACGCTGGAGGAGCAAGCCCAGCAGGTAACAGTCCCCTATTATTGAGCGCTTCCCAAGGGCCAGACACGGGTGCCTAGCGATTTACACGCATCAGTCAGGTGGGGTCTCAGCACCGTCAGGGGATGCGGGTACCTTCTCGGTTGGAGTTACGGGAACTTAGGTTCCTCCGTTAACGTGCCCGAGGTGGCAAAGGTAAGCAGTGGCCCCACTGTGATGAGACCTAACGACCCGGCAATTCCACAGGTCTCGAGTGAAAGCACGAGGCAAGAGTGCCTCCCAGAGGCGGGAGATTTACCTGGGCCCCGTGCTAAGGTGTGCGGACCAGCACCTTAGGCCAGGTGCTTCTTACGGGATCTTCCTTATTCCTCCCCACAGCTTTGTGACGCATCCCCACTTGTCTTGTCCCCATCTCCCAGATGAGAGGACATTGGCACCTGAGACCCCATGTGAGCTGTGAGGAGGTTGCCCACGGACTGAGGCCCCTGGCGTGTCTGCGGTCTGAATGCCACCCTTCACCCCCATTTTCTCTCTTTGCCTTCCCAGAAACCTTGGCATTCAAAAACTGTGAGCTCTCCCACGTTCACAGAGCAGAACAGTAAACCTCAGACAGCAAAGTGCCCAGAGAGGTGACATCGCAAGGCTGGAATCACACAGGGCTGGTGAGCTTGGGGCCCAGAAAGCTGGGTGCAGGGAGCTATTTACACCATATTGTCCTGCTTCTGTCAAGAGCCTTTACTTAAAAAAGCACATCATATCTATATTTTATGTAGTTTACCATTCAGGGGGAAGTAATAGCTATCCATTTATTTATTATTATTATTTTTAAATGTTTTATTTATTTCTAGGAGAGAGACAGCGTGAGCAGGGGAGGGTCAAAGAGAGAGGGAGTCACAGACTGAAACACGCTCCAGGCTCTGAGCTGGCAGTCAGCATAGAGCCCGACGCGGGGCTCGAACCCATGAACCGCAAGATCATGACCTAAGCAAAAGTCAGACGCTTAACCTACTAAGCCACCCAGGCGCCCCAGTGGCTATCCATTTAAAGGAAGGTGAAGAAGGGAGGTCACTGACTTCTTACTGCATGAGGGCAAATGGCCAGGTTAGCTTAGGTAGGTTTGCAAATAATATTGACATCAAATGTCCAGTGAAAAAAAGCAGGATATATATATATATATATATATATATATACACACACACACACTATATATATATACACACTATATATCTTTATATATATATATACACTATATATATATACTAGTAGTATAGTATATGTAGTATATACTATATATATATACTAGTATATATATAGTAAGATAGTATATATATATAGTAAGAGTTATGTTACATATATTATATATTTAACATATCAGATACCATCAATTATAATACACATTTTATACTTTACTAAAAACAATTGCCAACTATGATGTAATGTTTAACCACCTAGAATTTTATTTTGTACTTATTTTAATAGCTCTTCTTATTAAGAGCTCTTCTAAATTAAAAAAGAAAAAAAGGACAAAGGGGCAAGAGTCATCCAAAGTTAGTCTTTGACTTTCTTTATTCCCTTTAGACCCTTCTTTGATCCCTTATTATATTTATAAGATATAGTCCAGTGTCCAAAATACTCATATCCTCATTTGGCCCTCAAGCTAATAGGTGGGATATTATCAGTATCCCCATGTCTTAAAGAGAAAAACGGTGCCCAGAGAGGTAAGGTGACTTCCCTGAAATCACACAGCAAAGGAGCAGAGCCAGGCTTGGTGACTAATTATGGTTCTTCCTACCTGGGGGAGGTTAAGTCCTCCCAGGACTGGTCTGGCTCACTGGTTTCTTCTTTCCCTTTCTTTCTTCCTTCTTTTTCTTTTTCTTTTTCTTTTTCTTTTTCTCTTTCTTTCTTTCTTTCTTTCTTTCTTTCTTTCTTTTCTTTCTTTCTTTTTTCTTTCTCTTTCTCTCTCTTTCTCTCTCTTTCTTTCTTTTGACTCAAAAAAGTGTACAGGTTCCTGAAAGGGGTTTCTGGGTTGCAGGGCCTGATATAAAAAGAACCCTTTTAAAATAGCAAACCTCTCCCTATTTTTGTTTCCACGCCGAGAATGCTTGATGACGGAAAAACTGACTTTGTAAAGAAATTGTACATAAGACGCTAAGTGCCTCCTGAAACCCCATCGCTGAAAATCACCTGAAAGGTGGTGGTGATGGATGAAGCACTTATTGAGGTGAAATTGGCCAATTTAGGGAAAGTCTGAGGGCTGCGAAACGTTCATCCCTCCTCCTTCCCACCGCGTCAGCCGTTCACCCCGTCTAGTCTTTCCAGTTGGCTTTCTCTTTGTTTAGCAATGGGAACAGAGAAGAGCCAAGGAGACGACAGAAAAAGTCCCAGGGGTGGGTGTGGGGAATAGGATCTCAGACTTGAGAATTCCAGGAAAGCAACTGGCCAGTGAAGTCATCCTGAATGGATGTGGGGTGGGGGCAGGGCAATGCTACCCCCTCATCAGTGCCTTCCCCCTGCTGGCACAGGGCAGTGTGTGGTGGTCCTGCCTTTGGGACCAGACCTCCGGACGTATGTTATTCCGAGGGTTAGGGACATCTCTGCCCTGCATAGGTATCACCAAGGCACGGCCCACTCTGATGACAAGGGAAAACTGATTTTTCCCTTGCAAGTAGCAGGCGAGTGCCAAGAAAATTAGATCTTAGGAAGAAAGAAGCAATTAGAGCGGGCAGAAGATTTCCCAAGTCCGGGCCGATGAAAGCTGAGCCGCCTCAAATGTCTTTCTCAGGGGCAATAAGGCCCAAATTTCCCTGCCCACGCAATCCCTGGCTAAGTCGGGGCTGGAAAGAAAGTGACAATCATGTGCTTTTTAGAGCAAATTAAGTAAAACTAAAGTGTGATGAGTCTTTGGGGTTCAAAATTGCAACATTAATAGCACACAAACTGAACCTTCCTCCTCCCTACATCGGTGGCAAGTGGAGACTTTTTACCCAGGTCTCAGCACACACCAGGTGTCCGAAACATCGAGCCTCCCCACCCCGCCCCCACCCCTGCCCCAGGGCTTGTCTGAACTTCTCCAAACAGAATTACTCAAATGCACTACAGCTAAGAAGAAAAAAGACAATGTTGTTCATCTCTCTGGGTCACATCCAGGCTAAATGAGCACTTCCTGCATGCCGGGCAGGATCGAGTCCTTTACCTCATTTCCTGTTCATCTGCAGAACAACCCAGTAACGTATCACCCCCATTTTGTAGATAAGGAAACTGAGACCCTGAGAGATTACGTTATTCGTCTGTCGTCTCACAGCCGGGGAATGGCAGAGCTGGAATTTGAACCGGTGGATTCCAAGGAACATGCTCTCAGAAGTACTCTTGCAGAGCGTCCACCATCTCCAGGATGAAGGGGATGGTCCTTGGGCCCATTGGGTTTCTGAACTGATTTAAAGTAAGTTGTGCCCCTGAAGCCAAATGATGTATCAGGTTAATACCTTAAACTGGAGGGGGTAGAATAACAGTGAAGGACCACACTGTAGCATCTCAATGCAAAAAGGAATTTTGTGAAGATGTGGTACCAGAACATACGAGCGGAAGCGAGTTGCCCCAAGTCACAATCACAGCTGCAGCTATGCAGAGGGCAGTGTTGAAAAACATAAATGGCAAAAGAAAAGAAAAGAAAGGGGGAAGAGTTAGATTTCTAGTTTGCCTCAGCTGATCGGAGCTCAGATGGGCCTTAGAAATTTCGAGTCCTTAGCCACCTGACATGCAGGTCTATGATACCTTACATGTTGTTAGTAGCCTATTAAGAGAAGCAGCCTGGACCAAGGGCACCAGGATGGGGGGGGGGGGGCGGTAGTGGGGAGATGGGGTTTGGTCCTCCAAATCAAAAACATGTGTGTATATTATTTGATCTGATCAAATCATATTTTCCCAAGCTTAGAGAAAGTGTGAGTAAAAGCTTTTTTTTTTTTTTTTAAAGAAAACTTTGCTATTTTTATTCATCTTGTAACAGGCCTCTTGGTAAAAATAGTGTGCTGGCTGGGCAATGACAAGTTTCCAGCTTCATTGTATTCCCTTCTGAATAGATTGCTCTGCTAAGTTTTCCTTTTCTTGATATTTTGGTGCTTCCCCTAGAGACCACCAAACGAGATACCTGAGTTACATAGTTCAAGTTCAGACAAACCACTGACAGCTCTCTGGGTCTTGACCGACTCCTGTAAACCAGGGCAGGAGTCAGCAAGGGGGAAAGACAGGAAGGAAGCCCATGAAGGAACATGTTTTGTTCCATCTATTTCTGAACCACAGATCTAGCGCTTAGAACAAGGCATGGTCCAGGTAGGTGCCTGGTAAGCACGATGTTTATTGAATAGGGGAGGTGAATGTTTTACCAAACGACATACCAGTTCTGGGAACCCCAGGCGGGGCGGGCGGCGGGGGGACAGGGAGGGGCTCTGGGTTTCACTGATTCTGAAAGTTTCAGAAAATGTCATGAGTTCCAAATGAGTTCCAACTTTTAAATAGTGGGTTCAGTTCACAAGATGATAAAAATGATTTGCATTTGGCAAGATGGGTCAGGTAGTGCTATCAAGGCGGTTATAAAGAATTTCTGATCGGTTCGAGTCTCTGATGACTAGTTACAGAAGGATATTAAAGGAACTTTCACGACCTTGACTGGTGTGTTCACCAGACTCTGTAGAGCCAGTGGTACATGTCCTTATATTTCACAGGCGCAAACACATTTAAAACCTCGCATTAAATGAAGCCCTCCTGAATTATAAAATGGTCTAGGTGGATGTGGGACCCTTCTTTAGAGTTCGTTTTACAGTGTGGTCCAGAGGTTAATTAATGCGCCCGCTGACATGAGTGCAAGGGGCGGAGTCCTGGCTCCGAGCTGCAGCTAGTTTGGAAGGCGAGGAGAATGTCCAGAAAATTTTCTTTTATTGTCTTTAAGCCTCAAGTTTCTCTCCTGTAATGTGGGACTTGTGGTCCTGGCTCCTGTAGCCCTCAAATGTGTTTTTCAGAGGCGTAATTAAGGCATAATTAGGTTTCTAGAGACCCTGAGATCTGTGATAGGATTTAAAGCAAAAAACTTCTAGGAATCAGGTGGGAAACTTAAACAGTGGTGGCTTCAGAGTACAAAAAACAGTCGTCCCTACTATGCTGGACTGCATTCCATTCAAAGTCTGTTTAGGGGGTCGGGGACAATGACTTTCTCGGAGACATAACAATGCTAATAATGCAAGTCACAGAGCCCAGACCTGGGGGTGCAGTCAGCCTTTGTGAACTTTATCTTGATTTTTGAGGTTCTTATAAAGAAACCTGACCTTTCACGTATTACTAATTCATAGAATGTAAAAATCCTTCCCCCCGCCCCGCCCCCCGCGCCCAAGTCTGACAGTTGCCTTACACTTATCAGAGCCCAGATTTCTAAACTCCAGGCCAGCGTGAGGTCTCCCGTTCCAGGGGCTTCATCACTTTTTACAAATATGCTGCAGGCCGTTTGCTGGTGGGTTATGAAATATGATCGTAAATTAAAACTAAACAGCCCACATAAAATAAAAGGACAAAGAGCACTTTGTGATGTCGAGGGCTCTAGTTTGATTGCGTCGGGTCACTTATTTGGGCGTTCAGAGGATTTCAAGGAGCTGGGTAAGCCCACTACTCGAAACAGAAGGCAGGCACCGTCACCGCAGAGCCTGGCCCCAGAGCCCATTTCAGAGTCAAGGAGTAAGCGGTGACCCGTAGGCACTGCTTTACAGTTTAAAAGCTCTGTCACCTACGTGACTTCGAGGCAGACAGCATTACGGGGAAGAGGAAAGAGAGGCTTACACCCAGGGGGAGGGTCATAAGGTCCCCAGAAGAATTGAGACTCCTGCTGCAAACAGAAAATGCAAACTGAGGGACCTCAGATCTATTTTTCAAAGGAATTAGGGGTAGGTCAGTCCCATCTCTGGGAGACGGGTGGTGTGGGGGGATCATGGGGTGAGATTTGCGTAGCCTTTAGGAGTGGAGCCTGGCAGGTACATGGTGGTGGCGGGTGTTTACTGCAATTGCAACTCTTGCAGTAAGATCGGCGTCTTACATGCCCAACGGATTTACAAGCTCGCCAGGCAAAGCAAGCGAATCCTAAAGTAGGAACACACTCCACCACCCTCAGGGGCTGCCAATCACTCTGTTGTGATTTCTTTTTAGTTCCACTATATGTATGAAAACGGAGGGGTAAAAAAGGGGCCCTGGATGGCTCAGTTGGTTGAGTGGCCGAATTCGGCTCAGGTCATCATCTCACTGTCCTCAAGTTCAAGCCCCGCGTCAGTCTCTGTGCTGACAGCTCAGACAGAGCCTGGAGCCTGCTTCGGATTTTGTGTCTCCCTCTTTCTCTGCCCTTTCTCTGCTCGTGATTTCTCTCTCTCTCTCAAAAATAAATAAAACATTAAAAAAATTTTAAAAACTGAGAGGAAAGGTATAGAGAAGAGTGTTATTTATGATGAGTCCTTGTCATGGAAATTAGTTCTTTTCCTTACATGTACTTCTTCCTCTCTTCCTTCTTTCCTCCCTCCCTCCTTCCTTCCTTTCTCTCCCACTCCTCCTTCTCTCCCTCCTTCTTTCTTTCTTTCGTTCCTTTCCTCCTTCCTTCCTTCCTTCTTCCCTTCCTTCCCTTCCTTCCTTCTTTCCATCATAAAACATCCATAACATAAAATTCACTGTTCTAACCAGTACGTGTACAGTTCAGTGGCCTTAGCCACATTCACAATGTTATGCACCCATCACCTCAGTCCATCTCCAGAAACTTCTCATCTTCCCAAACTGACACTCTGTACCCAGTTACACACTAACTCCCCGTTCCCCCTCCCCAGGCCACTGGTAGCCCTCATTCTACTTTCTGTCTCTGTGCATTTGCCTCTTCTACATTCCTCATGCAAGTGGGATCATTCACCATTTGTACTTTTGTGTCTGGCTTATTTCACTAAGCATGTTTTCAAGATCCATTCAGATTGTGGTTTATCTCAGAACCGTCTTCCTTTTTAAGTCTGAATAATGTACCGTTGCATGTGTAGCATCCGTTCATCCACTGCTGGACATTTGGGCTGCTTTCACTTTTGGCGAGTGCGAATACTCGCACTGTTACCAATGTGGGTCTGTAAATATCTGCTTGAGCTCTGGCTTTGCAATTTTTACCCCCTTAATCTATTTCACCTACCACCCAAAGCCCCTTAAAAAAATATTTTTTACATTATTTATTTTTGAGAGACAGAATGAGACAGAGCACGAGCAGAGAAAGGGCAGAGAGAGAAGGAGACACAGAATCCGAAGCAGGCTCCAGGCTCTGAGCCGTCAGCACAGAGCCCGTTGCGGGGCTCAAACCTACAAACTGTGAGATAGTGACCTGAGGTGAAGTCGGACACTTAACAACCTGAGCCACCCAGGCCCCAACACCGCCTTTTAAAGTATATGTTAATGTGGGGATTTATGTCTGTCTCCTCTCCAGGATGGGCAAGCCCTTTGGGGTCTTGTCTTCAAGAAGCTTCCAGTTTGGTGGGGAAAGAGCCAGGGACTTACACGCTGACTGCCTGGAGGTGTGAGGTACAATCACCTCTGGACGCTGAGGAGCCCTGGGAGGTAGCAGAAAGGGGAAACCGAGTTGCCAGGGCTGATGCAGTGGCTTCATGGAAGGCAAACTTCTAACCATGTCTCGAAGCACAAACGTCTCTTTACAGGTAGAGGGAGATGAGGAGGAAGAGCACAGAGAAGGACAGAACAGGATGGCACAGAATCATGCGGGCAGCTGGACAGATGCCCAGGAGCAGCAAATAGGTTTATAAGGGGGAATCGACTCTAGGTCAACACTCCTAGGTTCAAATCCTCCCCCCACCAACCTTGGGCAGCGCACTTGACCTCCCCGGAACTTGATTTCTTCATATGCAGCTTGTGCGGTACCATAGCACTTATGTTGGATCATGTTGTGGGGATAAAATGAGATGACATATAAAAGGCTACTCAGGCTGGGTGGTGGAGAGAGCACCCTCAGGGCTTGGAGATGAGCCTGTACCTCACAGTAAGGATTCTGGTCCTTTCTTTGGGCATCAAGTAGCTGCTAAAGCCTTTCAAGCAAGTGGTGACAGGGCCTTGTGGATTTTACTGCAGGAGAGGAGTGGGGTACAGACAAAGGGCTAACCTAGATGTCTCCCCCGGGGTTATTTTGGATAATATGCGGAATGAAACCACACCTCTCAGTGTTGAGGCAGGTGGGAGTGACTGAGCAACACTTTCAAAAATGACCCATTTTGCTCATGAACAGTGGGGCAGAGAGTACTTTTAAAAATTCGGGGCTCCTGGGTGTCTCAGTTGGTTAAGCGTCCAACTTCGGCTCAGGTCATGATTTCACGGTTCGTGGGTTTGAGCCCTGCGTCGGGCTCTCTGCTGACAGCTAGCTCA